TTGTTGCTATGGGGATTTCGCTGCTGCTTCGACAACGGATTTTTTTGATTCTCGATGTTGTTGGTGTCTTCGTTGTTGATGTTGTTGTTGATGATGTTGTTGATGTTGTTGTTGATGATGTTGTTGATGTTGTTGTTGATGATGTTGATAATGTTAATGTTGATGTTGTTGATAACGTTGTTGTTGCTGTTGTTAAGGTTGATGTTGTTTATATTATAATTGTAGTCGATGTTGTTGATGTTGATGTTATCGTTGAAGATGTTGTTGTTGATGTCGTTGATTACGTTGCTGATGTTGCAGTTGGTGGTGATGTCATTATTGTTAATGCTGTTAATGTGATTGTTGTTTTCAATGTTGAATAGTAATATTAATTTTGCTACAGTTTCAAGAGTGGAATTTATTAATGTTTACAATGTTTCGTCTGTTATAACTGTTAACATTGATAACTTTAATAACAATTGATTGTTTGTTTTGTTGTTTATATAGTTGTTTTAACCGTTTATATAGTTTCTGGTTAGGATTATATAGTTGTTCTAAATGTTTATATAGTTGCTTAATATGTTAATATGGTTGTTTTGACTCTTTTTGTTTATTACGTAAATTTTTGGTTTGAACGGCGATAATGACAATGATAATAACAATAACGATAATAATAGTAAAAATAATAATAATATTAATAATAACAATGATGATGATGATGATGACGATATGGTGGCTGTTGACGTAGACGACGGTGATGATGCTGATGATAATGGTGACGAAAGTATATAACGATAATTATTTAAAAAGTCAGTGTTGTTGATCTTGTCTTTTTATTTATAATATTCTACCCCACCCAACTTCCCCCTTCAAATCAAACAAAACAAAACTGAAATGATATATTTTTGACTTTGAAATAATTACGTGAGTGAATGTAGGTGATGACTGTATAATGATAACGCTGATGATGGGAATGATAACGGTGATGAAGACGTAAAGTTAAACGTGTGAACTTTGAGAAAAAAAGTTATACGAGTTTTGGCGATATTTTTTTCAGTAGAAAAAAAATTTCTTTAGCTTTTCAGAATAATTTATAACAATTTTAATGATGGCAACGAATGTGATATTAATAATAACAATAATAATACTAAGAAGAAAAAGAAGAAAAATAAGAATAAAAAAATAATAATAATAATCTCACCTGGATTAAACGATTACTTATCTTTGCTTAACGTCAATGAATAGATTGGAAAACAATAAACTCCTGATATATTTGGAGTTGATGAAGACATGCTAGAAATATTCTTGCATTTCAAATTATTTTCAAATTCCGAAATGATTCATATTAAAATAGAATAACGGTATTAAATAAATAAGTTAACAAATTATAATCTAATATAATGAAAATTGCGTACCAAATGGTTTTATTTTTATTTTTTCGTTCCAAACCAAACAATTTTTTTTTTCAAAATCTAAAACTGAAAAAATACATACTGAAAAAAAAATCATTTGGAAAAAACATACACAGGGTTTGAGCGGAAAAAATAAAGAAAATGTTATATAACGCATGTATGTATGTATATTGTATATATGTATGTATGTATATACATATGTATATACGTATGTATGTATGTAGTTATGTATGTGTGTGTGTGTGTGTGTGTGTGTGTGTGTATTTAAGTAGTATATATATATATATATATATATATATATATATATATATATATATATATATATGTATGTATGTCTACTCTTCATTTCAATGTAATGAATACGATGCTACTTTTGCATTTGCATGCGTGCTAGCATATTTTATATATTATATACGTAGGAATATATATGTACATACAATTTGTATATGTATATGTGTGTATATGTATGTATATTGTAAATAAAAATGTGCAAGCATGTGTTTGTATGTGTATGTTTATATATTTGTATCATGTATGTTTGTCTCCATGAATCCATACAATGTTTATGTTTGATGTTTATGTCATTGCGTATCTCGTTTATTTCACGTCATGTACATGCATTCATGTGTTTATCTGTTCATCATTGTTTAATTCTGTATTAGTACGATGTTTAATACGCAAAATGTATGCCTATCAGTGTACATGTGTTCATGTGGTGTGTATTTTGTTAACAGACTGAAATGTTTGCATTAATTTCGTTAAATTGTTTTCTATAAATGTGATTTAATCCGCTTTTACCTGTTAGCACACATAAACACACATACAAATAAACACACACAAGCAAACAAACACACACACACGTGCAAATTAGAATAAATACATATCATATGTAACTATAATTTTTGCCCTGCCATTATTGTTATGCATTAACAAGTAAGACAGTTATCGCTAATATTTTAAAGACTATCAAGTTAACGGTGATGGTGATGGTGAGAATGACGATGGTTACGAAGAAGCAGAGAAAGATGATGATAACGATGATGGTGATGGAGAAAAATGAAGATGACAATGACGACGATAATAAGGAAAATAATTTTATTCATCAGCATTAAATCACGTTTTTAGCCCACCCACCACGCCACAGCCAATGGCATTATCATCTTCACCATCATTTTCACCATCATCTCATCATCGTCGTCATCTCATTTATTAGCATCGTTATAGTCTGCATATCATTAACATTGCTGTTTGATATCATTTATCATAGCCCTTATCATAGCAATTAATGTTAATGCCTCATGATCGTAATCGCCATGTTTATCCTCATCATCTTCGTCATCATCTTCGTCATCATCATCATCATCATCATTATATTAACTATCTCATATATTACGGTTGCATGCATGATTGTTTAACTAACGCAGCGTATTAGTTTGTTATTCTACCTGATGAAGTTGTATGCTTGTATATGCGTGTGTGTTTGTTAGTGTATGTATGTATTTATGTATGTACGTGTGTGTGTGTGTGTGTGTGTGTGTGTGTGTGTGTGTGTGTGTGTGTGTGTTATTTGTATGATTTTTGTTTTGTGTTTGCTATTACGTAAATTATGTGTGTGTATATTTGTTTGTATTTTTGGGTGTCTGTATGTATCTATATTTGTACTTAGTATGTATGGGTGTGTTTGTATGTTATTATGTATGTATGTATGTAATATTATTATTATTATTTTCGTTTATTAAGAAAACCAAAAATAAGTTAAATTAAACTTGTGGATAGGTTACCCTCCCTTAACTAACAACACATGTATTAAAATTTCTAAAAAAAAAAGTTAAATAATTGTATGTATGTATGTGTGTGTGTGTGTGTGTGTGTATGTATGCATGTATGTATGTATGTGTATGCCCATAGTATTTTTTGTTTCTCTGTATAGATATACATATTTTTGACGAGATTAACATTATCGTCGTTGATGTTTCAAAATTTATACATGTTTCAGTGAGTTCGTTCGTGTTAGTTTCTGCTTGTTTCCAGTTAGTTGTTTTTTGTATTTCTATGTATGTTTATGTATTTCTATGTATGTTTATGTATACAAGCCTACGTTTGTGTTTGTATATGATTTCGCTTAAACGTCTGTCAATGTTGTAATAAATTTGTGTGCTTTTTGTCTAAATATTTAAACATATATAACTTTATACACACATACGTACATTTACACACACACACACACACACACACAAACACACACACAAACACACACACAAATACACACACACACATACAAAACATATGAGCTAATTCGTGTTCAGAAAAAATGATGAGTCTATCGTACATCATACAGTTGGCAGTTTTATAAATTTTAAAAGAACCGCCTTTTGCTCCACTTCCGCCACGCCTGATTATTACTATCACTTCTACTATGAGGCCCATTGTAAGTGAAATTACTGAACACGAACCTTGTGGTGAAACAGTTAAATAACTCCTCTGCCTATGAAGGAGTTTTTGTTACAACTACCATTTTCGCCAATATTAATAAAGATACTACTACTACTACTGATGATAATAATAATAATAACAATGATAATGGTAACGTATTTTATTTTTACTTGTCAAGGAAAGAAATCAAATGACAAAAAAATGCCTAATAAAATGAATTATAAAAAAATTGTATTTAAAATGTACGATGTAAAATTCCACGCTCTACGGCAATTGCACGTGTAACAATTATATTTAATTAGCACGACGCATTGTTTCTGAGGCAATATATACCATATGACGAGCTAATAGGAGTATTTTATAATAATATTATAATAATAAATATAATAATAATATAATAATAATAATAAACGCCAATTCGGGATCACTACTATGTTGAGAGGGAAGAAATTGGTTTGTTTAGCGAGGACTCGTGCTCGCATCAATGGCTGAGGCGAATTTACAACACGACGCTACATCAATTGCTAACCACTCAGTATTTATAGTCTTTTTTTGGGGGAGATTTTAAATTTTAGTTTAAGTAAAATATTCCTTTAATGTCTACTATGGTTATTTTTAATGTTGTTGTTGCAGTTGTTGCTACGTTTTTACAATTATTGTAACTAATATAAAGCTTTAGTTTTAAATATTTTGAGATAAGCTAAAAATATTAAATAAATTACATACAAAATTTAGAGTTTTTGGTTACTGCTTGTTTCTTGTTGCTGTTTATTTGTTAGGGTTTCAAAAATAGAAATCGCAATAACAAGAAAAAATTACACACGCCGAATTCAAAACTCTGGGGAAAAATACTACAAACAAACATGGCATAATTTTTTCATCATACGCTCCTTTTTTATATATAAATAATAATAATAATAATAATAATATTATTATTATTATTATTAAAAAACGTCAATAAAAACAATAAAAAAACATTAAAGGATAGTGACTAATAACAATCACAATATTAATAGTAGTAGTAATAATAAGCAAATAATATAATAATAACAGTAATAATAATAACAACACCAACAGTAATAGTAATAATAATAAATAATAATAATAAAATCAATTTCGCGGCAAGAAGACATGTGCACATGCAAATCTTGAGATTTTATCGCGTTCAAATGAATGATGCTACGTAGGGCCCTGATTCTATGTAATTATTTCTTACTCATATCTGATCCACAAGTAGCTGTTGTATATACGTGTGTGTGTATGTGTATGTGTGTGTGTGTGTATTTATGTATTTGTGTGTGTATATGTATGTATGTATGTATGCGTGTGTGTCGGTGTGTGTGTGTATGTATGCGTGTGGGCGTGTGCGTGTGTGTGTTTGTATGTATGTGTGTATGCAATATTCAAAACAAAACATATCTCAGTTAGAAAAAAGATCAACAAAACCAGAACAAATACAAGCAACCTCAACAGCAGCAGCAGCAGCAGTAGCATTAGTAGTAGTAGAAGCGACGAAAGATTCTAAATAACGGCGCAACGGCGGAAGTAGTAGTAATAGTATCACCATTACGTCAACTACCGTTACACGCCAGCGACTTCCGTTTTGCAAACGATCGATGACGTCACATTAGCCGCGATATCACGTGACATAGTGAGGAAGTGACGTAATTGATAAACGGTTGTCCGAGTAAATTCTTATAGAAATCTGCGGCTCGACGAATACTGGTTTATCGAGTCTGTTTTTTTTCTGCTTGCGCAAGAATTTTGATTGGAAGTAATCGTTTGTTTGGTTAGCGTTGCTTTTGTTGGCATTTTTGAAATGGAAAATAAAAAAATGAATAATAAAATAAATAAATAAAAAAAAATATTAATATTTGTATATTTAGTCTCTTAAGAGTTCGTTATTAATTATATGATTACATTTATATGATTTTATATACCCTTGATATTCCATTAACACGAGGTCTTAGACATGATACAGGCTATTCAATTCATATCATACAAACACGAGTCAGTATCTAAACACATGAATGTTTTGCTTAATAGCAAAGTTATAGGACAAACAAATTTTTTCTTAATCTAAATCAAGATGATTTGATCATTCTATCAGTAGTCGCTACTACAGATTCTAAGTTTTTTCTAAATAGAATCGACACCGAAGTAACAATACTCTGCAGTAACATCAGTAGTAATCATTTTCATTGCTACACGTACTAAGCATCGTTACAATTTCAATTAATTCAACGTTTAGCAGCAATAATGCGCACTGCAAAAAGTAATTGTTGCGCGGTGGTGTGCGTGCGCACTGCGCAGTTTCTCTGACGTCTTGTGTTCTTTAGGAGAAGAAAGATAATTAAATAAAAAAATTTAAAACAGGCAAACAAAGAATACACCAGCTGCAAATAGATACAAAACAGATACAAACACATACACATATACATATACAAACACATACACATATACAAACACATACACATATACAAACACATACATACAAACACTTACAAACATTTACAAACACATACACACAAACACATACAACTGCATACACAAACACATTCATCAAACACATACATACAATAACTTAAAAAACTTACAAACATACACACAAAAACATACAAACAAAATTAAACAGATACAAAACTATACAAACACATACATACACGCACGTCCAAACACAAACAAACGTAAGCAAACAAGTACACAAAGCGTACTTCAATTTACAAAGAAGATACATCCATTCAAGCTGGGCACCAATTTTCGCCCGTTGCAACAACAAAGGGAGGAAAAATGATGGGTGAGATGGTGATAATGATAAGGATGATGATGACGACAATGATGATGAGGACGACGATGACGATGACAAGATGATAATGATCGCGATGACATGACGACGACGATGATGAAGATCAAGATGAGGGTCGTCTTTTGCATTCAACGTGAATGTCAATTGTTGTTGCCTGTTCATTAAATTTAATTAATTCGTTTTTTAACCGCCACACAACTCTTTCATTTTGTTTTTCTATTTATTCATTCATTCATTTATTTTTTCATTCATTTATTTTTTCATTCATTTCTTTATTCATTCGTTCATTCTTTTGCCCATTTTTTGAATGCTTATTTTTAAAATTTTCTATTCGTGCTTGTTAATATTTGTTTCTGGCATAATTATTTCTTTGAACATTCAGGCGTTTTTTACTCATCCATTCATTCGTTCGTTCGTTCGATCGTTCAATCGATTTTTTGTTCATTCATTCGTTCATTCATTCATTCATTCATTCATTCATTCATTCATTCATTCATTCATTCATTCATTCATTCATTCATTCATTCATTCATTCATTCATTCATTCATTCATTCATTCATTCATTCATTCATTCATTCATTCATTCATTCATTCATTCATTCATTCATTCATTCATTCATTCATTCATTCATTCATTCATTCATTCATTCATTCATTCATTCATTCATTCATTCATTCATTCATTCATTCATTCATTCATTCATTCATTCATTCATTCATTCATTCATTCATTCATTCATCCATTCATTCATTCATTCATTCATTCATTCTTCAATCCATTGGCCAGTTAGCTGTGCTTGAGAATGTTCTGGAAAATGAAAATAGATCGACGAACGATGGCTTTGTAATCTTGTTAAAGCGACTATAATCATAACTTATCATCATCGTCATCGTCATCCTCCCCTTTATTCTCAACGCCCCCCATCCTTCGACTTTTTTTTTCCTGTATTTATTACTTCCCTGGTTATTATTGCCACCATATTATCATCGTCGTCGTCTTCGCTACCTTTTTATCGTTACAATCATCGCCATCATCATCATCGTCATCATCATCGTCGTCGTCTTCATCATCATCATAATCGTCATCGTCGTCGTCATCAGCAATGTTTAAAGGCGTCAATTCATCCGTCTCAGTAACCTGTTGAAGGTTTTCGTAGATGGCGATGATGATGATAATGTAGAGATGATGATGGTGATGATGATAGAGATGATGATGATGATGATGATGATGATAGTAATAGTGGCAGAGGAGTCGGTGATGATAGTAGTTTTTAATACGAAATAAATTGAACAGATGAGCCTGATTGGAATGGTGTTAAGTGAGAGAGCGTCAGGTACATAATGTAATTTTGAAGAAAGGGTTTGTATGTATGTCTGTATGTATGTATGTCTGTATGTATGTATGTATGTATGTATGTATGTATGTATGTATGTATGTATGTATGTATGTATGTATGTATGTATGTATGTCTGTATGTATGTATGTCTGTATGTATGTATGTATGTATGTATGTATGTATGTATGTATGTATGTATGTATG